CCCAGCCCTGCCATGACTTGGATGTTCTCTTTCCCCTCGCACTCAGGATGAGGTGGGCGCACCGGGCATAGTGGTTGGAGTTTCTGTGGATGGAAAAGAAGTCTGGTCAGAAGGTGGGCTTTGAAAAGTGTTGATTTTGTGGCTTATTTTAAGCCGGTTGGTTGGTTCGTGAAACTGATGTTAACTGCTTGAAATGAAGCCCATGACATGCCATTCCGTGTACATGAAATCATGCATATTGTAGAGAAAACCTATCTCACGGAATAGGAATTGGATTTTTTTTTCTAATAGCAAGATTTGAAATGTAGGGGTGGCTAGTTTCTACCCCGACTATCCTGTTAGGACTGGGTTTCTTGGTCCAAGAACAACCTGCTAACTGCTCATTTTTAGACAATGCTATGGATCAGTGAGATGTAAGGATTCCTGGACTTTCTTCATTTAATCTAATCAGCATTTTGTCGTTCTGTACTAACGAGCTCTGGGGGTGCTGCGGTTAGGGGCTAACTAGGAAGTTGGCAGTTCAAATCCACCGTTTTTGCTCCTCAGGAAGAAAAATGAAGCTCCCCCTTAAGATTTGCAGTCCTGGAAATCACTGGGGGTACACAGTTCCTCGTTACTAAAGAGCTTACGGTTCTTTGTATGAGGCAGGTTTTAACTCATTTTTCTCATAAAAAGTGGCTTTGCCCATACTCCTTCCGTGGGGAATGTTAGGTAGCTAGATGAAGGGACAGGGGGATTGTCCCTCCCATGCCTGCAAAGGCCCCCCCATAGAGGAGGTTTGAAAGAAATCATGCAACCGTTGAATACCTATGAAGACCCCAAACTGAGCATGCACAGTCATGGCCCCTAGGCCCAGGCAAAGCCAATAACTTGGACACACCCACCTGAGGAACATACACAGGTGTGCCTAACTCAGCTAATGGGGTCAACCAGTATCATCAACCACACCTCCCCAGCCAGAGGTTTGAAATATCCTGGCTGTGGGAAGGCCTGGCTCTCTCTTACCCTGCTCCTGGTCAGAGTTAGGTGGAGGGTGAGGGACACACAGCCTCTTGGCCCACATGCTCTCAGTCTCTGGGTGCATAGTCTCTTAGCCTCAGGTTCTTGGGCTTCTGGCCTCCTGGGATGCCCACCAAGTTCCACATGCATGGGTGCTCTTTTCCACGTGGTTGTTCATGCCCAGTTGTGAACACCAGCGTGGCTTCTGCACATCTTGGCACACTTTCCAGAAATCGCATGTACTCTTTGAGACTGTAAAACCTGAAACTTGTCTTGTCCTTCATAAAAACTTACTTGTATCACAAAAGGGGGGAGACTTTGAGAGAGATTTTTAATCATTTTATACTTTTATCAGAGGATTATTTTATAACTTAATTTACTTCTCCATTGCACACAAATTGGTCCTACTGGTCATCCAGGTTTTTAGGAAACCTTTTAGAAGTTTAAAATGTAGTAGCTACATTTTAAATCTTGCTACTAGAAACAAAATCCAGTTCCTTATTCTGTGAGATATGTTTTCATCTTTATTTTCATCTTTGGCCTTTGTGGATGATGTATAAGTTTGAGTGATAGTCATATTAACTGGTCTTCTTTCCAAGCATGTGGATACTAACATGTTACAGATCATATTGTGCTTCAGAATAGTCTTGAAATGGTCTTCCTCTTCAATTAGTTGCACCCAGTATATTAGATCATATGATTTTTTAATTCAAAATGCCTACTACCAGTCCATTCCAGCTCACTGATGCCTGGATATTGATCTTTAAGTCTTCCATTTCATTTTTTACAACTTCTAGTTTTCTCTGCTTCATACACTCTGCATTCTGATTACTACTAGAAGTTTGTAGCTGTTACTCCTTATTTTGAGTCATGTTACATCGATTAAGAATGCATCCACATCATTAAGATCAGCTTTGATTTTTAAGAGGGAGCTCCTCCCCAGTCATATTTTGAGTTCTTTCCAACACAAGGGACTCGTCGTCAAGCATTATATCAGGCAATGATCTGATGTTATCTGTGAGATTTCCATTAGCTAATTTTCAGAAATGAACATCAGGCCTTTTTCATAGTCTCTCAGTATGGAAGCTCTGCTGAAACCTGTTACCCATGGGTGGCCCTGCTGAAATATAAAATACACAGCTTCCAGCATCATAGCAACATGTAAGCCAACACAGTAGGATAAACTGACAGGCTAATAACCTGCGATGGTCTGAAATTGGTAGAAGATGTAATGGAGGTACATTGAGAACTACTGGTGGTTGGAATGTAAAAGTTGGAAGGATCCGTAGCTGGAATGTACAGCCTTCATGGTAGAAACAGCACTGGAGCGTGCCTGATCGAATTCTGTAAGAACAATGACTTCACACAATACCAGAAATAGCTTCTTTTCAAGACAATCCATGATTACACATGTGGACCTCGCAGATGGATTCCACAGTAATCAAATCAGCCACATCTATAGAAAAAGACAGTTGAGAACTTTGGGGTCCAGTTGTGGAATAGAACATCAATTATTCTTGTGCAAGTTTAGGTTGAAGTTGAATAAAGTGAAAACTTCATGAGAACCAAAGTAGGCATGGAATACATCCTGCCTGGACCTAGAGACCCTCTCACGAGAATCAGTATGATAGCCTGGGTGCTAATTACTGAAGACCAGAGGATACTAAGGACAGTATACATTTCTTAAGGTAGACAACCCAAAGGAATAACATATTTGGCCATTTCTCAAGCTGAAAAATTAAATAGATAATCCAAATCTGAGAGTTACAGTACTGAAGAATTCTATTGGTAAAACACTGGGCAATGCATAAAAAAGAAAATATCGAAGTTTGAAAACAACAGAGCCGCTGAACCCAAAATAATTGGTCAACATTTGATCTTTTCAGGAGGTAACATATAATCAAGGAATGTTGGTTCTGAAGGAAGTAGGCATTGGTGAAAAACAAGTCTACAATTGATGAGATACAAGTTGAGATGCTTCAACAAATGAATTCTGGAAGCACTTAAGAAATTTGGGAAAGAAAAACAAAGAAATTGGGGAGATGACCATCCAACTGGACAAGCAAGATCCATATTCAAGCCTATTCCAAAGAAAGCTGATCAAACAGTATGGAAATTATTTAACAATATCATTAACATTACATGTTAGTAAGATTTTGCTGAAAATAACTTAAAAGGATCATAACTGTACATTGACAGGGAACTGCCAGAAAAAATTCAAGACAGATTCACAAAAGGATATCGAATGAGGAATATCATGACTGATATCAGATGCAGAATGGCAGGAAACAGAGAATACCAGTATTTTCACTTGTATGATACTAACTATATAGCAGAATTTGCCTGTGCAGATCCTAACAAATTATCTGTAACATTCCAGGACACTTCATTGTGTTCCTGTTGAATCAAGAGACCCTACCTTTGATGGAGCACAGAGATGCTATGTGGTTTAGAATTGGAAGAGGTATGTGGAAGGGGTCCCTCCTGCCATTATACTGCATATTGAGCAAGAAGCTGGACGGCATGAAGCGCATCAGGATTGAACGAAGATCCATTCACAACCTGCAATATGCAGATGATACAGCTGTACGAATATGGATTACACCCGAACATGAAAACAAAAATCCTCACAATTGGACCGATGAACAATATCATGACAAACTAGAGAAATTGAAGTTGCCAAGCATTTCTTCCACTTGGGTTTGCACTGTGCAAGTCTGTTGCAAAAGACCTCTTCAAACTGTTCAAAAGCAGCGATGTCTCTGATGATGAGGTGCTTCTGACTCAAGCCATGGTGTTTTCAGTTGCCTCGTATGCATGTGAAAGCTGGAGATAAGAAAAGCCATGTGGGGAATTGATTCATTCATTCACTGTGATGTTGGCAAACAGTACTGAATCACCTTATATACTCGAGTATAAGCTGACCCGAATATCAGCCGAGGCACCCAACTTTACCTCAACAACTGCATAAAAATGTGCTGAAAAACTCGCCTTATACACGAGGATGTACAGTATATCATGGACTGCCACAAAAACAAACAAATCAGGCCTGAAAGTGCCGCCAGAATAATGCTGAGAAGTGAGGATGACAGGACGTGGGCTCCCTTGCTGTGGGCGTGTCACCAGGAAAGATAGGTCACTAGAGAAGTGCATGGTGTTTGGTAGAGAGGGTCAGTGCAAACGAGGGAAACCTCCATGAGATGAGTGGACACGGGGCTCAGCCATACCAAGATCATGAAGATTGTGCAGATCAGGCAACCTTCTGAACTGTATACAAAAGCTTTTAGCAATGATGTTTCAGACAGTATTTAAAGAAAGTCGTCCTTTAAGACTCATTGATGGGCACAGCAGGGTTTTGAATTTAAAGAAAAACTATTCTTTCTCCACGTACAAATATGATTTAATATATCTAGTTTATAGTTTTAAAAGTATGCACTAATTTATAGTAAAAATACCCAAATTACATTTTTGTGAGGATATTGCTTTCATACAGTTGTTTTCCAGTTTAATACATATTTATAATTTAAAAAAATGGACCCCAATTCTCGTAGCTCTTTTCTGATCCAAATTCTTTAGAACTATTACATTTCTATGTTTTCAGCTTATAGGTGTAAAAGGAACCCTGGTGTCACAGTAGGGTAAGCATTGGGCTGCCAACCACAAGGTCAGCTGTTCAAATGACCCAGAGACTCTACACTGTACTGAGAAAGAGAAGGCTGGCTGCTCCTGTAAAGATTTAGAGTCTTTGAAACCCTACGTAAGATCACTTGGAATTGGAATCAACTCAGTGGCTGTGATTTTTCGTTTTGTTTTGTTTTAATGGAGAAAATGTAAACCAAAGCTTAAAAACTGACTGTGAAAAGACTTGCGTTAGTAGTACAGTTTTTATCCTGAATTCAGTCAATGGTTAACTAGTTTCGGTTTGCCATAGATTTGTTCACACCCACTGAAAGTGGATTGCAGTTGTAAAGCACTTATTGAATATTGAAAAAATCAAGAGTAACTACCAGAATAAGAGCAATGAATTGTAAAAAAAAGAAAATGGAGCAATGAATTGTTTGTTAAAGAATATGAGTTTATTTATTTAAAATGTGGAATGGTTTATATGCTTAGATAAACTCAGAAAAATTAGTATCTGAATCAGATGGAAAATTCCTATTAACCCCCCAGACACAGTGTTGGTTGAGTTATAAGGTGAAATTGCTATTACTAATGTGTCAGTTTTGCGAAGACTCTCATCTCTTACATATCCAGGAATTTTAATTTGCTTCTCATTGCTATCAGGTCAGTTCTGCCTCAAGGTGACCTTCTAGGTTAAGGTAGAACTGCCCTTGTAGGTTTCCAAGACTGACTTTATGGGAGTAGACAGACCTGTCTTTCTCCCTTAGAGCAGCTGGTAGTTTTGAACTGTCAACCTTCACGGTTAGCCTCATGCCCATAACCACTACATCATCGGGATTCCATTTAATTAGCTTATATTAAGGAATATATTTCTTAGACTGTTTTAAAAATAGTATTACTTCACTTTAAAAAATCCTTTTGACCATAAGCCCATTAATAGTGACCTTTTGCTTGTTTTCCTCCCTAAAGGTTTAGGGTATGCTGATGTTGAGAACCGTGTACCATGTAAGCCAGAGACAGTTATGAGAATTGCCAGCATCAGCAAAAGTCTGACCATGGTTGCTCTTGCCAAGTTGTGGGAAACAGGAAAACTGGATCTTGATATTCCTGTGCAGTATTATGTTCCTGAATTTCCAGAAAAGGAATATGAAGGCGAAAAGGTAGTAAAACTCATTTTACTAATGGCGTGTTAGATTGTGCTAAATTGTTTCACAGGATTTTGGGGAGATTTTAAACTTTTTTAATGGACTAGATTATTTTTGTTTTTATTTTTTCTATATAGATAATAAAGAAGTAAGTATTTTTCTGCTGCAATCTGAGTTTCTAAAAACATTGTACATGGCATATTTTTTCAGCCACGGTTCAAGTTGGAAAAAGTTACTGGGGCATTGTACCCAGGTTGCTGACATTTTGTTGTACAATTCAGTATTGTGACTGAATTTCCGTTGTTACCATTAGGTTTCTGTCACCACAAGATTACTGATTTCCCATTTAAGCGGAATTCGTCACTATGAAAAGGACATGAAAAAGGTGAAAGAAGAGAAAGCTTATAAAGCCTTGAAGATGATGAAAGAAACTGTGGAATCCGACCCAGACGGGAGTCACGGCGACCTGGCCAAGGCGAAGACAGAGCCGGACAGTGACGCCAAAGGCAAGAATGCGAAGCCTGGCAAGAAGAAGAATGATTTTGAACAAGGAGAATTATACTTGAAAGAAAAGTTTGAAAACTCCATTGAATCCTTGAGATTATTTAAAAACGACCCCTTGTTCTTTAAACCTGGTGAGTGTTCACTTCTCTTCACAAAGGCATCATTATTCTGAAGGACGAATTTTCAGGAAATCCAAAATGACAGATGAGGTTGATGATTGTGCCTTGGGTTGTGCTGTCAGGCCAGTGTTGCCTTTTCTCTCAGTGCTCACAGGGCCCAGCATGCAGACAGGTGGTTATTTAGATTCGCTGAGACCACCCACTCATGTGGCTGAGTCTCACTGGAAAGGTAAGTGTGGAAAATGTATGGTGAAGTATTGGAAACCTAGGCGAATGTGTGAGCACAATAAAAATATAGCTAGTATTTTAGCATTTAGTTAGGATTTAAATTGCTCAGCTTCCTTACTTTGTGACTTTTTAAAGAAATTAGTGTTATCAACTTTATTTTATTTCCCCAAAAGCTAATCTACTGAAATCATTATCTTTATGTTATGTATTTTTTATATGATAACATACTTAAAGCACTTAGATATATTTATCACAGGTTTGTGTATGTTTGCTCCATTTTTAAAACTTGTTTTTTGTTTTTACCATGAGTAGGTACTTTATAAATATAGTTAATTAAGGCAAATAAAGTATAATTATGGGTTTCATTTTAAAAAGTATGGCCCAACCCATTTTTAGTACAAATTGTACAATCTAAGTTTCTATAATCCAAGATAATATAAAGGTATATTTGAAGCAGTATGTATATTTAACGTGTATTTGGAAACAAGGCTTTGATGTCTACATATTTTTATTAAAATAAGAGCTGGTGCCACCTGCCCATGCCTTAAACAATAGTTAGGAGATATATTAAGAACAAAATTGTGGACTCAAAAACTTAAATTTGCCTTTTTTCTAGTTTTGTTGCTAGTTTTTTGTTTGTTTTGAGTAGGATTATTTGTTTATTTCATCATCATAGAAAGGGGTAGCTTCACATGAAAATTCAAATATACTGATCATTTTATTATTTTGTCTAAATTGACTAAATCTTTTGGTGTATTATTTTTGATATTTTCTCTGAATGCTGACTTTAAAAATATTCCTGTGTTAAGGGTATAGCACTTTTCTATGGGAAATGATTTTACATAGTTTAAAATGATAATCAAGCATTTTCTCTTTTTTCCCCCTTTGCAATGATGTCTTAAGGTAGTCAGTTTTTGTATTCAACTTTTGGCTATACCTTACTGGCAGCCATAGTAGAAAGAGCTTCAGGATGCAAGTATTTGGACTACATGCAGAAAATATTCCATGACTTGGATATGCTGACCACTGTGCAGGAAGAAAATGAGCCAGTGATTTACAATAGAGCCAGGTAAATGAATACCTCCTACTATATTCAGCTACCTATCCTGCCTTGACACTGTCTTCTCAATTAAAAGTCTAATTTTTTTCCTGTCTCTGTTCCAAAATCAACTTGACACATTAGGGAGCAAAGGCGTGTACTTTTATACATGTCTCTCTTGCTTTCATCTAGGAAGTGAGAGAAATAAAAGACGTGTGTAAAGTACAGCAGTGTCCTTACATGAAAGACAGCACCACTAATTCCAGCACACAACCAGCAAACCAAAACGACACCCATCACGGGCATATGTAATTTACTCTTTGGTCAGCCTTTTTTTTTTTCCCTAATCATTTAGCTCATGCTGTGTTTACCTTTCATTATTTTCTGTCTTAACTTTTATTACAAAACCATTTCATACTTAGAGAAAAGTTTCAAGAATAGCACAAAGAATCCCCCTATAGCCTCCACCCAAATTATCATTTTACCACATTGCTTAATCTGTTGGGGTTTTTTTCTTACGTCATTTGGAAATAAGTTGTAGGCATAGTACCCCTTTTGTCCCTAAACACTTAAATGTGTGGTTTTTACAAACAAGGATATTGAGGACACTGGTTACAGTGCTTGCTTTTTAAAAAATCAAATCTGTAGACCATATCCATGTTTTGCCAGTTGTCCAAATAATGTTTCTAATCAAAAAGAGAATAAAACTTTTTTTTTCCTGATACAGATTTAATACAGGGTCACACATTTAAATTCATTTCATTTGGTTGTCATGTCCCTAACTCACAATCTCCCTGCCATCCAGTCAATACTGTAGGACAGGGTAGCACTGCCCTTGTGGGTTTCCGAGACTGATTGTTTACAGGAGTAGAAAACATCATCTTTCTCCCGTGGAGCTGCTAGCGGTTTCAAACTGACAACCTGGATCACAGCCCAGCGTGTAACCACTATGCCACCAGGGCTCCAGGGCGTCTAGCCTGTAATCAGGAGCAGTTTCTCAGCCTTTTCACTTGTGATGTTGGCATTTAAAAGAATATTGGCATCTATTTTGTAGCCTGTGCTTTAACTTCATTTCTCTGATGGTGGTGCATGTTTAATTCAGGCGAGGCAGTTTGGGCCAGACTGTCAGCAGACTGTGTCTCCTTGGTTGACCAGTAACAGAAGACACATGGTATGGATTTACCCCTTTATTGGTGATTTTGATTACTCTGCTGAGATGGTGCCTGGTCTCTTCACTATGAAGTTCCTGGTTCCCCCTTGTAATTAACAAGTATAAAGGGGGGAGTGGGGACATCAAAAAGTTCTTGGAAAAAATGGAATTGAAAAATAATGGATTTTTCCCCCCACATTGTAAAACCCTTTTGTAGTATGGAGAAATGCTTTGAGACGTTGTAAAATCCCATTTCTCACCCAGCCGTCACCTACTGGGATGGTTGCCAAATGGTGATTTTAGAATTCCATCATTAGTTCTGTGTATTAGTTGACATGTTGTTATAAGAAAGTGCATTCCTTCCTCTCGTATGTGTGAATGTGCCCAGATCAGTATGCATAATAGCTTCTCATTTTATTTCATGAGTTACAAGCTGTTACTGTCGTTATGTAATGCCTTGCTTTAGAAATGTTAAATATGTATAATTGTAAACAAGAGGTAAAAGAAAACCTATTTATAAGGGTAACTAGCTATTAAATCACTTAGCTATATATTTATACTTTCAGTCAGAGAGTTCTATGTTTGATTTTGTGGGAGTCAGCAGTATATATTAACATGTTCTTCTGGTTTGGGTGATAACCCCTGATACATGCCATTAGAGTAAGAGGGACTAAGGCTCTTAGTGTGGCACCAAGATGTCTGGGTGCCGTCTAAACTCCAAATAATGGAGCATTTAACAATGCGGGCTTCAAGCCCATTACAGTTAGATATTCTTTTGTGCTTTTCCTCCGGTGCTTTGTGTTATTTAGGGATTAAGATGGGAAATATTTAAGCCATAGTTTCTCCAACTTCTCTTTTACAGTTTCTAAATGTAAAACAAAAGGAGTTACCGTATGTAAATTTATATACAAAGAGTTCTCGGCAAATTGGTCAGGTTGTAATATAATTTATAGAAAGGTTTGTAAACAACTGGCTTTGATAAAGTAATTAGAATTTTTATTCTTAGGAAGGAAAAATGCTATGATTTTAGATAATCTCGTAATTTGATTCATTTATTGCTCTGATAGAAAACATGCTTAAAAAGTAGACTTTTTAGCTTTTTGGTGCTATAACGTGTGGCTATGCCATGTGTTGTGGAGGAGTTTTCCATGATTCGTAGTTTAGATTCCTTGTTTGAACGGGGGAACTTCGAAATCACACACAGAACCATTTGAATAACGGCCTAGTAAAACTCGTTATTTTGTAAATATATAAGCTTATTTTAGAGAAAATGTGAAAACATTTAAAAAAAATGAGTTGACGAGGGTTAAAAAACGCAGTAATTGAAGTCAACCCTACCTTGAAGCACAGCTCTTCGCAGCTGTCTGAGCGAGCTTCGGGGCCGCACTTTCTCACGAACTGTGTGACGGCCGCGCATGCGGTGAGCGCCTCCGGCGTCAGCGGCGTATTCTGGCACTCCGTCAGTACGGTGAGCTTTTCCCCAAGTTCTTTAGAATCGAAAAGGGCTTTTTTTGTTTTTGTTTTCAAATTTTTAAAATTTATTTTCTTTATACTTTAAAAAAAATCATTTTATGGGGGGCTCCTACAACTCATCACAATCCACACGTCCATCCATTGTGTCAAGCACAATTGTACATATGTTGCCATTGTCATTTTGAAAACGTTTTTTTCCTACTTGAGCCCTTGGTATTGGCTCCTCCTTTTAAGCCTTTCTTATTGTCGGTTGTAGTCTGGAAGCTCTGCTGAAACGTGCCCACCATGGGTGGCCCCCAATATTTGAAATAGCTGTGGCATAACTTCCAGCAGCATTCCAACCCCTCCTGACAGATGTGGGGGGGATGTTCCCTACAGCCAGAATAAATATCAAACTCGAGGGCAAAGGCTAGGTTACTTTGTCAGAGAGAAATCAAAATACAGTGGCTCGAGGAAGGAAAACGTTTCATTCTCTTGTAACCTTCCTGAGGAAAGTAGTTCATATTGGCAGACACCGCTTCCTCATGCACCTTCTCTGGGACCCCGGCTGCTTCACCTTTTCCTCCGCTGTTGTAGAGCCTCCACATGGTAGCTGCCAGAGCACAGCCCCTTTGCTTTTCCAGCTTCAGGGCGAGGGCTAAAGAATGGGAGATTAGCTGCTGAACAGCTGCTCACGACAGGTTTGTGGGAAAATTTCATTATCTTTGACTTCCATTTTTCCACAAAAGTTTTTTAAGCAAAATTTTTTTGATCGTTTTACTGGGGACTCCTACAACTCTTATCACACTCCATACATCCATCCATTGTGTCAAGCACATTTGTACATTTGTTGCCATCATCATTCTCATCCACAAATTTTTTGAAGACCTATACTTAAGTACATGGGAGGCAGGGGAATGTAGTTGAAAGCTGAGTAGACATCTACATTGCTATAATTCTATTATGAAGGAGGATGAGAAGAAAGATTTTGTGCATAACCAGCTATATCTGCTGCCATATTTTTTTATAAAACTTCTGGTTTAGAGCGGGGAGGGTGATGGGTGCGTGTGCACTCAGTGACAATGAAAAATACACTCCTAGCGTGGGCTGAGGGTTTTTTTTAACATTTGAAAACCATGTCATGGAAATAATATCAAATGGCATAGTTTTTACTAATCATATGTAAAAGCTGCTTGGAAGAGCATTTTGAAACTTAAGACTAATGTAACTTTTATGGTTACTTGAACTTTGGCATTATTTTCTCGTCTCATTATAATTTGAAGTGTTGATGGAAAGCTCTCACTTTGCGTAGACAAGCTGATACTTGACCCTTGCATTGCTACTAATATTGCTCTACAGATGGTGTAAAGGCACTCTCTAAAGAAATACAGGTAAAATGATGGGATTCCCTTTCAGTTACCAGCATATGTCAAAGGATTAAATGAGCATTGCAAATCAGTCATTGGCCTGAAAGAGAGTTTTTTACCGGGCCCCAAGGAAATTAAGTGATCAGCAAGCAATACATTTTAATTTTTAAAATGTAGCCTGTAGTATTCAACCTCATCAGACTCCTTATGTCTATTATTTTTAAGTTAACACAACAGTATATTCTACTGGGAAGTTTAAGGAAAATTCACAAGTACCAGAAGTTGTCAGTTGAATATATATGCATATGCATAAACACATACATAAATTCTCTAGTAATGCTGGTAAGATGTATGCCTTTATTTTGATATAGCCTAAGTATTTGATAATGAATGCCTGCTCTGAATTGGATTCGAGTGGATGGTACAGAACAGTAACAATATGTAATTCTGGTAGCATAGTGGTTACGCATTTGGCTGCTATTCACATGGTTGGCAGTTGGAAACCACCAGCCACTCCACAGAAGAAAGGTGGGTTTTTCTACTCCCTTAAAGTTATGTCTCAGAAACCCACAGGGGGCTTATTGTGAGTCGGCCACGACTTGATGGCAGGGAGTTTTGGTTTGGATATATTAAGGAAGAAGGGCATTTTTTCAAAATCATTTTATTGGGGGCTCGTACAATTCTTATCACAATCCATACATACATCCATTGTGTCAAGCACATATGTACATTTGTTGCCCTATCATTCTCAAAACATGTGCCTTCTACTTGAGCCCTTAATATTGGCTGCTCATTTTCCCCCTCCCTCCCCACTCCCCCCCCATGAACCCTTCATAATTCATAAATTATTATTATTTTGTCATATGTTACACTGTCCGACGTCTCCCCCCACCCTCTTCTCTGCTGTCCATACCCCAGGGAGGAGGCTGTACTTAGATTCTTGTAATCGGTTGCCCCTTTCTACCCCAAATTCCCTCCACCCTCCAGGCATTGCCACTCTCACCACTGGTCCTGAAGGGGTCATCTGTCCTGGATTCCCTGTGTTTCCAGTTGCTATCTGTACCA